TTAATGATATGTAGAAGTTATATAAAAAGGTGGTATAAAAATATTGTTCTTTTATCATATTAGCGAGATATGCTCCTACAATTATGAAGAAATATCAGCATAGAGCAATCTCAGCATATCAGCTTCATCTTTGCATATCTATACTTTCCACTTTTACTACACTTTTATTGCTTCCTTTTCTTTAGGCTTGACTTTAGCTAGAATGAATTTTTCCTTGTTGTATATATGTATGTAATTATGCACGAGATCAATACATGAGAAAACATTCCATTACTCTTGACATATCACCACTTTTTTTTTTTCTTAGGTTAATCCAAAAAAAAAAAAACCTTTTAAGCCAATTCTTTTCTAAATGATCTTAAGAGTACACCAGTGTATTAATTCAAAGAAATGATTTTATGTATATTTTCTTGGTTCATTTTGTAAACAATTTTTCATTTAGATCGTCATTAGTCTCAAAAAAAAAATTTTTTTTGATGGATAGTCCCAAAAAGATTGAATTTAGGTAAATGAGAGGAGAGCAAGCTCTCTTAACTAGACTACGACCCTTGGCTTATTATAGGAAAATTAATTTAATGACCATAGGCTTTAAACTTAAATCCTAATTGTTTTCTACAATATGATACAATATTAGATAAATTGATGCATATCAATTTACATATAATCTTTTCAATAAAAAAATTCAGCCACAAAATGTTACATTATATTGTATAAAATACTATATTGAAAAACATTATACATATAGCATTTTTGCATTAAAAAGCTAAACTAAGTTTTAAACCTATAGTCAGTACTCGATTTTAAAATTGTGTACTCATGAATGATACATCAACACCAGACCAAATAAAATTATAGTATTTGATGGTTATATATTTTTCATGTTTTTTTTTTCTAGCTTTCCTAATTCTCACGCTATCTTCACGAGTAAGCATCGAGTTAGGTATAGATAATTTGAATACGCATTTTTTCTTTTTTTTTTTTTCCTAAGTTTGGGATGGGTCAAAGCTTCAATCAACACGTTCTCCAATAAAGGAGTTACACAGAAACACAGTTTAATTTCTCGGGGTGGACACGGTTCAGTTTTTTGTTATAATTAAAGTTAAATTATTAATTAATTAAAATTTTAAATTTTAAATTTTAATAATTATTAACTAAATAAAAAAAGACGAGTTTTATCAATTTTGATTGTATTTTTGAGACTAACTCTTTAGATTGATTTTAGTTTTAACTAAAAAATTATTTTTATATTTTTTAGCAAATTTTTTGAATTTCTTAATTATTATTTATTAATTTATATCACTAAAAATACTAAAATTTATCTAAATAAATAAATAATTTGGTGAAAAAAAACTAAAAAACTTTAAAAAATCTAAAAATTATTAAAAAATTTTTTGAATTTCTTAATTATTATTTATTAATTTCTATCACTAAAAATACTAAAATTTAT